AAGGAATAATTGATCGTGGGTGAGCTATGAACAAATTCATCATGTGATTCCGATTTGATGTTTGTCAGCTATCAGATTGGATTCACATGACAAATATGTTCATAAATCCAGGATCTATGAATCACGTGTTTACGTGACACATTAGCCACATGGTAATAATGTGTGGCGTTCATGATGCGAATAGTAATTTATCATGGTGCGAATAGCAGTTCCCTTGATTTATTAATAATATATTAAATTCTGAAAATTTTGCATATAATATTGTTCCATCTGTGAAATTAATTTTATTTGGAATATTACATTTCCAATTGTATTACTGGGACACCATGATATAACATCCAAAAAATTAATAAAATTATAAATATACAGTGGCAATCAAAAATAATACATCAAAAATAATACATTAAATATAATAAAAGATGAGTTTTTCTCTTTATATAAAAGTTGAAACTTTTATATAAAGAAAAAAATCCATATTTTATTAATAAATTTTGACACTTGCATTATTTTGATTGTCATTGTATATATATACTTATTAATTTTTCATCTAAATTACAGACTACTTGTGAATATAATTGGAATTTCTTTTTTATAAAAACCAATTAAATACACTCTTGCACCAATCTATTCAAAAAAATAATTAAGTATTTGTGTCATCATTATCAAGATAAATAAGCATCAATTAATATATTATTTGAGGAAGAAGACTATGTGATCTCGTAGAACTTTCAATTCTTCAAATAATACTAGAGCACAGAAGAATGATGTTTCATTACAGGAATTTAATCTTTTTGGAGAAGAACGTTCATATGATGAAATAATCACATGACCACGATGTGTTTTCAATTATCCTAGAAATTAAACATAATAACTCGACAAATACTCGTAAAAACTCACCTTATACTAAAAAACCAATATTCTTAACATTCTTGTTATATTGAAAACTTGTTCAAATTGTTGTCCTCGTTGATATGCATCCATGTTTAAAGTTAAATATTTAAAAAAATTATAAAATTTACTTACCGCCATAATTGTTTAATTATTTTCCCAAGAGTTTACTTAACCTCTCTCCCTTTAGTGAAAACAATGATTGTTAATCATTTATCCTATCCAATTGATCTTCGCAAAATGAAAATAAAAATATGAGATATTTACATTGTTATTGATGACGTAGTATAATTTACCCTTAAACAATATCTTTTGAGCTTACGTTTTAGTTATAAATATTAACAAATATTTGATTATTGCAGCGAATATTATATATTTTTGTACCTATTTGCGAAATCTGTATATCGATTGGTTGGCAAAAAAAGACATGAATTAAATATAAGTAAGATTAAAAATAATAAATTAACTAATTAATTATATATATGCAATCAGACAAGGCTGAAACTTTTTGTTGAATGTCAACACATTTTTTTTATTCAGTATTTTCGTATGATGTATCATCACGCTATACACATCGCGAAACAAAGAAATCAAAATTTCTCAGTTTTCTTACCTATTAATAAGCCCTAAGCTAAGCGTATCTTTACCGGAGTATCGGTATTCCTCCCACAATTTTGGGTATTCTTGATATCTTTTCCAGGAAGTTCCACAACATCTGCACTCAAAATGTTGATAACCAAGCGCTTCGCGGCGCTCCGATGTTAACACCCATTTTCACCTTAAATTGTATCATGAAAAATCAATTAAAAGCTATCAAGAATTAAATAAATGAATGATGGATGGATAGGCGATGTTCAGGCTATACGAGTATTTCACCTCAAAAAATGAATGAAACTGCATTTTTTTAGGAGTTGGATTGTTTTACTTTTGTAATTCATCATATATCCAAATTTAATGTAATTAATTATATTAAAAAATACCTTCAAACGTTATAAAATTCCGTAAAAACTCGAAAGTAGTACTAAATACCCTTCAGTTATTTTATTCAGCTTTTACAACAATTATTTTGTTTGAATGGCTGCAAAGGATAAATATTGTTCTAAAATTATAGTATTTTTCTTCCCAAGACTCAAAAAAATTTTATTAAATATATTCATTTTGCAACATACATTTATACTGTTGTACAAAGTTCACCTTTTGTTAAATATCATAAATAAAAAAAAATGATTAATTCAATGAAAGAAGCGCAAATCCAATAATGAGAATTTGGTGTGCGTTATTGTTAGTAGATGTAACAGGGAATAAATAATAATCTCTAAAAGAAAGTGACCCCATGCAAAATAGCATACGGATACTTTTCTTTCCATTCCTCAAGTAATTTTTCAATATCCTGATCAATGTCTTTGGTCTTTTCGATCTGTTGGTTTTGTTGAATTGAATTTGATTGGAATCAAGTTTCGGTGTATTAATAGACAAACAAACAATCGGATGTGGATTTTATTGTCATGAAATAATTAAAATGCAAAAAAAAGAGTTTGTTAGCACGTATAATATAGATCTGAAAATATTGTATTTTCATATATAATCGAAAAGAAAAAAAATCAATGAACGAAGAAGATAAAAAAAGAATGCGTGCCGTCGTCATTTTGTGCCAAGTAACCAAAGCTGCACCTTTCTTAATGCACATCCCATTTCGGTTTTTTTTTTGTCATAAAGTCTTGTCAATTCTATTGTCAAGTAGATTCAGAGATTCAGGCGGGATTGTCCAGGGGACGACTTGAATATGCAATAATAATTGACTCAAGATTAAAGCTACCTAGTATAATTATAATTATAATTATAATTGACGCCTTTTTGATTTTTTGATAATTATTTTGTGTGCGTATATTTATATTTATTATACGAAAATTAGGTTGTATATGATACTAAGGCTATATTTCTGTTAACAATAATTAGGAATACCTGATTTACCATCTATATATAATAGCACGTATTATTATAGAAAAGCTCATAATATATATGTATATCGTCGTTATACATACACATATACCATGGCGTAAATAGAAAACAATGTATATATAAATATATACATTTGTGAGATGAATTAACAAATATCTTAATTGCATACACGCTCGCATAGACTCAGAGTAAGAATAACGACGACGACGATGATGACGATGAAATGGGATGTGAATTAAAAATGATCAATAACTTACCCAGCGACACGAAGCAGCAAACGAATACTCGAAATACAACAAAATCCAATCAAACACAAACAAACCAAACAACACAAGAGTCTAATTATACACGCACATTAGAAAATAATATACAGACCATCTGAGCCATGTGTAAAATAGCACGTCCAGCGAGCATCGCGTCCTCATGGTTATCTTTAATCTCGATGTTTATAACATGCGTTGGCTTGTGTCTTTCTTGCCCTCTATTAATCAAATCTTTTTTTTTTTGATAATAAAAATAATTAGTAAGTTTCATACTACAGCAATAAAATTCATACGATATTAACAGATAAATATTTAGATATATGTTAAAATACCTTCGAGGACAGCATCGAAACATCGTTCCTCACAAGTTATTATCACATCAAAGACTCCTGTGGTTTCTTGCCATCTTTCTGGCGCCCGTTTTATTTTACGATTTCTATCCAGCATGTCTAAGAGTCCATTTTGGGTATACCTTTATCGTTATTACAAAGAGATCGAACGAAAGTTGATCGGATTATGTTTTCACGTCAAAGATGCCGATAATAATCTAAAGGAAACGACAGAAACCAGCAAAAATATTATGTAAATACGCACAACTTTGGATCTTTAGCCTTCAATTCTTGATAAATGTGATCATATGGTGTCCCAAAACTATAAATATTTGGTTTATCGATACTCGGTCCAGGAAGACGAACGGCTGACCCAGTTCCATATGATGCCACCTTGAATCCTTTCTTGCTATTTTTCGAATGTTATTAGTGTTATGATATTGTTAGCAAATGTCATAGTATAAAGATTGAACCAGTATGATAGCGTCAGAATGCTATTATTTAGTCAAAAATACTAAATGATACTTTACAAAAGTACATGATGAGCTTCCATGCTACGGTTTTGGTTGCTCGCGCAGATAATAGCAAAGGTCACCATTTTTATTTTAGGATTTATAAGTTATGTTTTTATCTATCTGTAAATACATAAATAAATAAAAGGAGTCTACTATAATCCGGATTCTCTATTATTAAACTAACTTGATCGATCGATCGGGATTTTTAACAAAAAAATAATTGATTGAATCAGTATATAGTAAAATAATAATGTCTTTTCATATCCAGCTAACCGAAGGTATTGTGGGCGGGTTCAAACCACCAACAGTAAAGTAAGTAACAGAAAACGATGACTTATAAATACCTAATGATTGAAAGGTAAATATGGATATCATATTTAACTATTATGTTTTGCTATAATCGGTAAAAAAGGCGTGTAATAGAAATAAACGGTGACCCCAGTGGTGGGTTTGTTCAGCAGTCGACTTTAGAAGGTCGTGACGACTATCGAGTACAAAACGGTGAAATCACCAGGTACCTGCTTCTTTTACTCATATCATTAACATAGACCATTCAATTAAATTTGCATATTATTGATTAATTTTCCATTCCTGAATTGATCAATCAATTTAATTCTATATTTAATAATAAAAAAAACAGTCAAGAAATTAATGCACTCGTAACAGACTTGCGTTCCACTCTTAGAGTGTTACCAACCGAATCCCCAGCAGGCGGCGAAGATATTTACGGATTTGACACATCGATACACATTCAGACTGACGATGGATTCGAATGGCGTAATGGTAATTTTTTTTAGTTCTCGATTCTGAATTTTGTCCATTATTAAAACAATTCATCAATTTTTATTTTGACGTTAAATTTACATCAAATCAATTCAAAAATATTATTGATCGAAAATAAAAAACAAGGTGGACCAGAAGGCTGCACACATCACGAATCTAAAACAAAACCAACTGAAGAGCAAAAAGCTATCTTTCAAGAATTGATCTCGAAGATTTCGGGCGTTGGTCAACGGTTCGCTATTAAATCGGTGTCTTAGATAAATTAATTTATTGTCAAAGAAATTTTTATTCAAGATGACACCACCAATTTTATTATTTTTGTTTATTTATTTATTTATCAAACCGTACGTAAATACAAATTTTGATGCACACACCTCTCTTGCGCACTACTAGATTCGTGGCATCAGCTTAAATTGTGGTTTTTTTTGAGGGCTTTATCATTTGATGCTCTCTTGCACATTATTAGATTCGTGGTACCAGCTGCCTGTGAATGTGGCAGGATCTCGCAGGGCTTACTCCACGTCATTACAACAGATAAACTTTCCCCTACTTCATCCTATTACATACTGCAGTGATATAATAGGATTCTGCAGGCAACAAAGGTACCTATTTTTCGTCATAACTAAGAAATCATCATATTTACGTAAGTAAATTGTGGTTTTTTTTGAGTGCTATATCAAAGAAGTTAAACCAAAAAATTCCAAAGCTTTTCTCGAAAACTGATTCACCACTATCAGTGAATGACTTTGGTGAAACGCCCACACTAAAACAAGAACATAGATATTTCAGAAATTGAGTAACCATAAGATGTTTTTATTTATAATATAAATGGATATATCAAATAATTTGTTTATAAAATTAATGAAAAAGAATAAGTTAAATAAAATGAATTAAATTTTGAAATAAGAGAAAAATAAATTTAATTATATACAATAGCTTACAAAAGTAATGCATCACTTTCAAAATTTACTAATAAAATATAGTTTTTTCTTTTTATAAAAGTTTTTAATTTTACTAATTAAGATTTTTTGTTTTTATACAAAAATACAAATAACAATCCATGTTTTAATATATTTTTTTCAGATTTTTTACATTTAATTAGAGAAAGTTTTTCTAATTTAAAAGTAAGTTAATTAATTTTTTATAATTAAAATATATAAAAGTTAATCAACTTATTTTGCAATTAGAAAAACTTTCTTTAGTTAAATATAAAAAACATGTTAAAATATGAAATATTATTTATATTTTATATAAAAACAAAAAATTTTTATATAAAAAATTTGTATTTGATTGTATTTTATTAGTAAATTTAAAAATAATATATTGCTTTGTAAATTATTGTATTATATCAATTTTATTAATTTATTTTTTCTATATAATTTATTTTGATATTGTAAATAGAATTTATATATAATTAATTTTTTTTACAGTAACCTATAAAAGTAATATATTATTTTTAAAATTATTATTAAAATATAATAAAATTAAATATTTTATTTTATCAGAATATTTTATTTTTATATCAAAATAAAAATTATAATAGTTATTTTTTTCAGATTGTATTTAATTCAAAGAAATTTTCTTAATTACAAAATAAGTACAAATTAAAAAAATATAAAAAATAAAAAAGCATGAAATAATAAAATAATAAAATAATAAAATAAATAAAAAAAATATTTAATTAATTTTATATCAATTATAAAAGATAATTTAAATATTTTAATAATATTTAATTTAATATATAAATAATATTTTATTTATTAGAAAAAATGTAAATGATATTATTATAATAATTATCTTAAAATAGTTTAATTAATAATATTTCTTTATTATTATACTTTTTATTATTATTATTTTAATTAATGCTCTATATATAAATTATATAAGTATATAATACAAAAAGAATAATATTATCAAACTATTTCAAACTTATTAATTTAATATATATAATTTTTTCAATTATAAATTTATTTTTTTATATAATTTCTCTTATAATTATAAGAGAAAATTTATTTAAAGATTTTCTGTTATACAAATACTATTTAAAGAACTAGAATAATAATGTAAAAATAAAATTTAATTATTAATAAAATATTTTGATAAAAATAAAATTTTTAATTTTATTATATTTTAATAATAAATTTTAAAAGTAATATATTAATTTTATAAATCACTATAAGAAATTAAAAATATAGTAATTAATATACTTACAAAATTATATATATAATTTATTAATAAAAATTTTTATAATAGCTTTGTAATTAGAATAATTTTAAATTAAATCTTATATTTTATTAAGTTATTATATATTATAATATATAATGACAATCAGAAATAATGCGATAATATCAAAAATTTATTAATTAAATATAGTAAAATGTATATTTTTTTATCTAAAAGTTTTCAATTTTACTAATAAATATTTTTTATTTTTACATTAAAATAAAGATAATATCACATATTTTAACATA